GGTGTGTATGTGCTAAGGGTGGTAGAACATCTGGACAATGAGGCAGGACAACCAAAGGACCTCTCTTTATTGTTTCCAGTAATGAATGTAACCTCTCCCACTAGAGCAAGTACAAACCAGTGGTCATAGCCTAAACCAGTTTTCAAATTATGGTTTTTAAAAGTAAAATTATTTTACCTACCCCCACCCCTGTGTAGATGCTTGTGACCTTTTCTGTCTGCAGATTTAGAACAGATCAAATAAATTGAAAATACGAGTCTTGCTTATTTTGAAAGATAATGATTAGTCCCTGCTGTTTTTTTAAAAAAATTTTTTTGGAAGGAATCCAGGATGCAGGGGATGAAATACAGACTCTAATAAAGCCCTTTCAAAGGCAAAAAAGTATAAACTGTATAGGTGTGCAAAGGTTCCGAACAAACAGAAACACTGTTTCAGCTTCAACACAAAAGGGAGATCTGATCTTTTGACCCTGCCAGTCAGGACCAAAGCAAATGACTCTCAGGAAGAGAACTTTTTAAGTGCTTCCTGGCCCAAAATACATTTAAAAGGGATTCTGTTTCTGGTGTAAACATATTTTAAATTTTTTTTAAAAAAAACGAATAGAGAATAAATATTTAGAAATATCCATTTAAGTGGTGAAATTACTGTTTTTTGCCTTGTGGCTGGAAATGGTCTTACTCAATGTTAGCAGAGCTTTGATGTCTGTTTCACTCATTTTGTCACTATACAATTAATTAGGTAGTTAAGGAAAAAAAAATCCAAAGATGCTATGTGCCATCAGGTCAGTTCTGGTGTTTGGTGACTATATGAGCTAATGCAACACTCTACTTTCTGCTAGAAATGGGGAATATTAAAAATGGCAGTTCAACTTGGTTTGTGATTTGTGGATGTCCATGAACAACAAACCATGAATTTAGGAATTATTCTAGAACAAGCCAAGAATTAAGTCATTGGTTCATTCAGGATTTTTTTTATACTGCCCCTACCCTCTTTCCACTGCCCTGTTGCCTTCCTACTTTTTCCTCCTTGTGCCACTGCCATTGCTGCCATTTTGAAAGGGCTCTGCAGACTGGCCCACCAGGGAGACTTTGCACAGCTCCCCACCTCCCCAGAGGCTGTGGGGCTGGCTGACAATCCTGCTAACTAAAAACATTTTTTTTTTGTTAGCGGGCTTGTCAGCCCACCAGGAGGCCTCTGCACAGGTTCCTGCCTCTCAGCTGAGAGGCAGGCTGCTATTTCTATTTTTAAATTTTTTAGCAATGGGCCTATCACTCCACCAGGGGGCCTCTGCACAGGTCCCTGGTGGGCTGACTAGTCGGCTTAAAAAAACCTAACAACAACAACAACAACAACAACAACAACAACAACAACAACAACAACAACAACAACAACAACAACAACAACAACAATTTTAAATTAGTCGGCATCTCAGCCAGCCTGGTGGTCTCTGCAGATATACCCACCTCTCCAAGGCCTTCTGATGGGCTGACGAGTCAGCTTTAAAAAAATGTAATAATAATAATTCTTTAAAATTTAGCCAGCCTGTCAGGAAGCCCAGTGGCATCTGTAGATGTCTTTGTTTGCTCTTATCCTTTCCTTTTATTTCTACCATACCTCTTACCATCCAAACTTGCCATTTTAAAAAAAATAATCTTCCATTCTACAGTAATGAAATTTCTATATTTCATATAGAGGAAATCAAGCAGGGATTCTCCTCTATGGCAGATTCATGAGCCAGTTCATCAGCTTCAGCCTAAAGAGGCAATGCATATGCTCTAATATCGCCTTTTCATGACCTGCTCCCTGCTGTTCAACTGTGGCTTAAGTAAAATGATGTAGTATTTAGGAAAAAAGATGCAAAGTAATAACCCAGCACTGGCAGACAAGATGGAGAAGACCTCCACGGCCATCATGCATTTGCTTTTGGTGCTCAGGTAGGTTGGAACAAAGGACACTCAAACACTGCAAAACACCAGCATGCTGAAAGTGATGCATTTCGCCTCACTGAAACTGTCATGCAATTTCTTGGCTAGGAAAGCCACAAGGAAGCTAACAATGGTCAGGGAGGCCAAATGGCACAGGACCCCATAAAGCATAAAAGCTGAACCCTTACGTGCCAGTATGATTTCTGTATCTAGGGAGTGCATGTCCACATTGGGGAATGGAGGAAAGACACTCAACCATACTATGCAAATGATTGCTTGAGTCAAAGAGCCAGAAAGGAAGATAGGATTTGCCAGTCTTTCCCCCATCCATTTTCTCAAGCCTGATCCTAGTTTCGTAGCCATGAATGCCAGAACCACCGTGATGGTTTTTTGCCAAAATGCTGGAAAGGGCCACAGAGAAGACAAGGCCAAAAACCGTTTGCCTGAAGAAGCAAGTGAACTTTCCAAGTTTTCCAATGAAGAGGAAGGAGCAAAGAAAGCAAAGCAGAAGGGAGTTGAGAAGGATGTAGGTGAAGCTCCAGTTATTGACCTTGACTATGAGAGTGTCCTTATACTTTGCAAAAGTTGCCAGTACTAAAGCTGTAATCAAACAGAAGGAACCAGTCAAGATGGATAAGATGATCCCTAGAGGTTCTTTGTAAGACAGGTAGTTAAAAACTTGGCTATTTAAGCAGGGCTTCCCTCCAGTCAGCTAAGTCTTTTTTTTTCTCCTCCTCTTTTCTTATTCTATCCCATCTTGGTACTCTTTTCTTAAATTAAGTGCCTTAATTAATATTGTAATTGTATTTTTACATTTTTTTATATTGATCTATTTTATGCTGTAAGCCGCCCCGAGTAGACGTGGTCTAGAGGGGCGGGGTATAAATTTAATAAATAAATAAATAAATAAATAAATAAATAGTTTAGACCCTTGGGAACACATTCAGTTTAGTCCTCATTGGGATACTGGTCTTCTGGACAGTAAACACAGACATATGTATCTGAAAATAAAAACATATATCTAATTCTTTGAATCTTTGATGAAGATATCGGTAAATTTGCTTACTTGTAAGTTCAGAGGTTGAACCACTACAAAATATCTAAATAAGAGTGTCGTAAGGAAATGTAGTAGTAAGAAACTTTATTGGCATCTAGAAAGAAACATATAACACAACAGGCAACAGTCCTCACCCTACCATTTTAGGGGAGGAAATGTCCCAGCTGGAGGGTCTAAAATCCAACACAGTCCTGAATTAGAATGTATTTTCTTGGTCAGCTTCCACTTCTTAGTCCTCTTTGTTCTCCTGACTGATAGACCTCCAGAGTCCCTGTCCAGGACAGCTTCCTGATTGTGCCTCTGTTTCTTCCCCACTATATTGTTGACCCAGTAAGAGACTGATTCAAGAAGGGGTCTCTGACTGACATGCCCACACTTTGTCTTCTTGCTTTTTGGATTGTGGTTGTTACCTCTCTGGTGCCTGAATGAAGCCTGGCTTTGGCTGTTCTTACTTGGACCCTGCCCAAGACTGCCACTGTTAGTTGCCCCTGTTCCCTGACCACTGCCCTGGATGATAGTCTTTTGTGAAGCTTTGCCCAGTTTGGACTGTGAGTGAATTTGTGCAGGTATGAGGCAACACTCAAGGTCCATTGTTTAAGAATAGGAGCCTGCTCATAAAGTTCCAGCTCTGGAGAGCTACACAAGGATGTGGTATACACAGGGATTGAAGGGTTGCATTCTGGAATATACTCATTCCATTTTGGGTTGGTTTTGACAGCTGTGGCCCTGGGTATGACACCAAGGACATAAGGAAGGTGAGAAAATGGATGCCCAAGAGATTTAGGACTTATGTCCACCCATTTCCAGAGTAAAGAGCACAGTTGCTGGTGGTTGTTTTTGCTGTTTTGCTTCAGGTTTGAATTTACAGGAGAAGAGGCTACAGATCCAGATTTATGGCCACAGCTATGCGTACTGGGGAGTGTGGCATGCTGCACAGAAGGCATGGGGCATGTGCCTGGGTCTTGGCGTTGGGGCCTGTTAGAATGGAAGGGCAAGCAAGGCATGCTTTGGGATGAGTGGTTGCCCATGGTCTTACAGGGCAATATGGATTTGCTCCCCAGATCTCCTGGTGATCCATTTGGTTGGTAATGATTTGGGTGTGAGGAAGAGTAATTGATTTTGCAAGTCATGAGTGATTTGTAGCCTGGGCTATGGACAACTTGGTTCACTCTCGTTCCTCATATGGTTTGGAGGGTGAACTGCACCTTAGGTGCATAAGTCAAGGAAGGCATGGGCTTGACAGAGAAGTTGGCAAAGCCATGTTGGAGGGTTTGGTTTCAGTTGTTTTTCTCCTGGACATTAGGGTTGAGTGTCTGGAGCTGTATAGAGGTGATGGTGTACATAGATCAGACTTAAGGAATTACATCTTCTTACAGGACCTGCAGCAGAGCTTTAGGGCCAAAATTCTTGGCTTGGGGTTTACTAAGAGCTAGCTGCCTTGCCATGATGAGTTGTGTGGAATGGGAGGTGAGTATCCATGAGTTCCCAAGGGACATATGGAAGTGCTACTGCAGCCAACATCTCAGCTCTGTGGATCCCAAGATTCAGTTGCCAAGATGTGCAGTGCATGGGCAGCAAGTCCTGGCCACTACCCTCGTAAGGTCATGAGAGCTCGGGTGGCTGATGGCTGGGGACAGTGACCTGGGTGTTAGCTGTCCAGGAATGGGCTGTCTTCAAGACAGCATGGACACAGGGATTGAAACTCTCCCATTGAGGGAAAGGTGCAGGGGTAACCAAGTACCTTTGGCTTCTGGCTAGGTATCTGCACTATGGTAGGCCCTTCTGCAGGAGATGGTAGGCACAAGTTAAGTGATAATAAATTTATGTCCATAGATATTAAAGTTATATCCATCACCTGTGGCTCATCTCCTTATTTTCAGACTTGGGAGGACAATGGCAGTCTCACAGTGATTTCAGGCTGCACTGAAGGTTGTCTTCTGACATTGGAGGGAGCACGTCTTCCATATACTGTATTTGCTGGCGTATAAGACTACTTTTTTGCCCTGAGAAACATGCCTCCAAGGGGAGGGGTCATCTTATACGCCGGGTGCACTTCAGTTGGGATAGACATAGCTGCCCATAGTAGCTTCCCGATGCCTGCCCACCTAATTCTACATACCGTCCAGTATCGCGCAGTATCCAGTGCGGCCGCAGCGAGCATCAGCAGTGAGACAGGGGTGCCAGCCTTTTCGATGTGACCGTCCTGTTCTGCTCAGCGGGAAGCAGCGGCGCTCCAGCTCATCCCTTGTCTATGCAGAGCTCGCACTTGCACACTAGTGCCGGTCACAGGGAGATGTAGGGGCGGGCCAGAGGTGCTGTGGTCGTGCTGCGGCTGTACAATGGTGACAATGACTAGCACCTTTTATTTGGTGTGTGGAAGGTGTGCGGAAGAGGGGGTAGTCTTATACGGTGAGTATATAACAAACTCTATATTTTGAGTGGAAATGTTGGGAGTTGTCTTATACACCCAGTCATCTTATATGCCGGCAAATACGGTATTTGGTAAAAATATCTCTCTCTCTCTCTCTCTCTCCTAAACATCTCTTTCTCTCTCTCTCTCTTCATCTATACTAAATCCTAGGGCTTATGGCTGTACTAAATCAATGGCCTCTGGTTCTGTGTAATTCTATTTTTGTCCTGCTTGTTCTTGTCCCTCATGAAAGAAAATGACTTGTCAGGAAAATAATAACAATAATAATAATTGTACATATATACATGGTATACCATACAAAGAAATTCATACAGGCACCCAGAGACCAGACCCACAAGCACAAACATAAAAATTCCCCAAACAATCCCCACCCACTAAAAATCCGCCACTAAGAATACAAACATCTACACCGCAGGCTAAGTAACACTGTCCAACTAACTATTCACTACTGGTGGTCTTTAAGCTCATTATTAAGTGCAATTTTAGCTCTGGGATAAAAACTCTGCCAGACGGCAACAGTTAAAAAAAGTTGTAAGCAGGATGGGAAGAGTCTCTCAGGATGTCAGAAAATGCCTTGTTTCTGTCATTCCAGATGCAACATCAAAGGCCAACAGCACTCTAGAGGAATGATCATCTCCCCTATAATTGACATAATTGCTAGTTTCCATTCTCTTACCAAATGGATTTTTAGAGCCCACAAGCATTATGAGCAAGCATATATGGGGAATAAAACACTATGAACTGACAGTTTGAAACCCCACTCAAGGTTAATTTGTAAGATCAACATCCTCTCATGTGTTTGGTGAGTTTCTATGTTTTTATTCTATCTCTGTTCTGAATGCAAAAATATAAGCTGTCATTCATGTTATCCTCTCTCCCCTTCCGTTATCTTCTACTTTTCAGTGTCTTCCTCCAAAATATCAGACTTTAATAATCACTTGTAAACCCTTTTGAACATTTCGCTATACTGAAATATTAAGTTCTTTGCCTGATCTGGGACAAATGTTCTGTATCACAGTTCTGATTGGCCATTTTCATCTATTTTCACTGCTTTTAAAAAAGTTCTGATTTGCAGGAAATGGTGACAAATAGGCAAAGGGAAAGAAATTAGGCCTGATATATTGTCCTACCAGCCAAAACAAAAAATAAGGAAAGTCAGAAAGAAGTAGAAGTTGTGCAATTGTTACAGAAGATGGATTACTCTGTTCCAGCCTGGTGTGACCTTCCTTGACACAGCTGGAGCCAGTCATTGAGGCCGTACCATACTTTGGTCATCTGATTGGTTGGTCACCATAACTGGGCAGAATAATTCATTTAGGCTTATTGACAGAATCAATAAGCCTAAATGAAGGAGATCAAAGGAAGATGAGCTCAGGAAACTGGACTTCTGAGATACAGATCTCCATGTATGTCTAGGTTGGAATCATCTTCGTGATGCATCTCCTTACCGTTGTGAGGTAAACAGTGTGTTAATCTATGTGTTTCTTTTGTTTTGAAGCACAGAACTAACATTTTAATTTGCATTTCTTAGCTCCAATAAAGCAGAGGTGTTACAAGGCTGTTATTCCAACACAGTACTTAATTTTTCTTTTAGTCTCTGACTTGGAGGATCTTGATTGCCTCTTGTCAGTCCAAGAACTTACCCAAACCTAGGCTGTGGAGGAAGAGAGCATTATCATGACCAATACTTTACATGGGTCATTTCTCCCTCTGGTCTCCATTAATGTGATGGGGAAGATCAAGGGGTTCCCTGGAATATGTGCCTCAAAATGTACGTTTTTCTCCTTTGAATATCACAGTGAACTCACAAACTTTATTCCCCTTTGTACACCCATATAAAGGTCTTGATGAGACAAAAGGAATATGCTTTTGAACCTGACGGGATGGAGCCTTTATGAAATCGAGGAGTGTCATACAGGTGTATGGATTCCTGAGCAGGAGAAACACAAACTCAGTGCACCAATAGAATCATCCACAAGTCCACGACGCTGACAATGAAAACATGGGATTTAATTTTGGGGAAATATGATTTGATCATCCTAGTAGCAGTTCTGCTCCTTGCGTTGCTGTCTGGAGCTGTATGCAAGACACATTCTACTAACTGCACAATATCTGATGATCCCTCCCCTATTTCTCATAAATTTTACCAGCCAGGTGACTTTATTATTGGTGGGATTATTTCTCTGTTCTTTTTTCTCCACAATGATATCCTTTTCAGGAAGCGGCCTGCAGAGATGTTGATCAATGAACCAAAGTAAGACACAATTAATATTTCTCCTCCTCCTCCTCCTCCTCCTCTGAATTTGGAATTTCAGTACCATTGTCAGTTTCCTTCCAAAAGTATTCCCATGCCTGCTGACGTCTACATTGTTACACTTGGGTACAAACTACTAGTCTTTCCCCCTCTTCAAGCTTCACTGGAATTGTATTTCTTAAAGGATTCTACAGAATAAGCTATGTGTTCGGGTGTGTTTTTGCATGACTTCAGATTTTTTAAATCTGTTATTTCATCTCACCAGTAACTCCAGGTTCAGAGGTGTTGTGTATCCCCTCTGTTAGTTGCAGTTTCCAGAAGGTATCCAAGGTGGTGAAACCTATTCCTAGAACATTTGTTGTTGTTGTTATGCACCATCAAATCAGAATAGACTTATAGTAATCCTAATAGGGCTTTCAAAATTTGTTGTTGTTGTTGTTGTTACGCACCATCAAATCAGAATAGACTTATAACAATCCTAATAGGGCTTTCAAGGAAATTGAGATGAATGGAGGCGTGGAACTGGGAAAACCTTTAAGGAGCAGAGAGTGCTGCACCACTCCTTAAATGTTTTACCAGTTCCACTCCCCCAGTGCACTTCCATGGCTGAGTGGGGATTCAAACCCTGGTCTCCATTATACCACTTCTATTCTAGAAATACAGACACTAAAACCCAGAATGGATTTACAGTGCACCTGACATCGGAGTTACCAGCTGTCACTACATCTCATGACTTTTTTTTTTGCTTCTTAAAATACTATGATGGTTTATTCTCCCTATCCTTTCATTCCTTTTGCTTTTCTTGACTACCTCACACTACTCAGGAACTCTCATTTTGTTCTTGGAACTTAAAGCATATTGGAAAATAACCCGTGAGATACACAATACTGTAAAATCGTGTATGTTTCTATGATTGAAGTTGGTAAAGAAATTTTTGATTCAAATGCAAGTGTATATTAAGCTTCTGGAACTTTGCACTTGTCCACCATATTTGGTGTATTGTTTTCAAATGTAACTAAGATCCAGGAACAGTCTAACTCAGACCTTTTTCTACTTTACACTTAAAATCATTTCTTGCATTTCATCTCCACATGGTAGGTACCCATGAGTTACACAAATGTATCTCTTTTCATTAGCCTCACCCAACGTCATGCTATTATACATTTGTGTTTCATTGAATTCAATACATGCAGCAAAATAGTGGAGGAAGGAGGAGTATATGGACCACCTTGAGCCTTCAAGCAAAGTTATATTTCAGATCTTTTATAATATTTATATTCTTCTAAGTCATGAAAAAACATCAATGACTGATATCAAATATAATGTATTTTTAATCTTGGTGTTGCTCACTTAAGCACTTGCAATTTTTCTTACAGTTCAGTGCCTAAGAACTACCAGCACATCCTGGCCTTGGCATTTGCTGTCAAAGAGATCAATGAGGATCCTCAGATCTTACCTAATATTTCTGTGGGGTTCCACATCCTCAACAGCTACTACACTCCCAGGATGACCTACAAGGCCACCCTGAGCCTGCTTTCCACACAATCCTGGTTTGTCCCAAACTTCAGATGCAACAACCGGAAGAAGTTGATAGCCCTCATTGGAGAACATATTTCAGAAATCACTTCTAATATGGCCACCCTTTCAACAAGCCATAAAGTTCCACAGGTAAGCTCTATGCATGGGATTTTGTGATTGTGACAATATGTTAATATGTTATTAACATAGAGCTCCAATGCTGACTAGATGATAAAAACAGTGTCTCTTGAAGATTCATCAAGTGAATCATGAGGTTGGGTTCAAATCTGGTTGTTTGGGAAACTGCAGTTCATCAATGGCTTCTCAAGAGGTTGGAGGTTTCCTGTGTGACTGATGCTATGTACAGGGCCAAGACTGTTAGAGGAGTAGTTCTTAACCTTGGGTTACTCAGGTGTTTTTGAACTGCAACTCCCAGAAACCCCAGCCAGCACAGCTGGTGGTGAAGGCTTCTGGGAGTTGCAGTCCAAAAACACCTGAGTAACCCAAGGTTAAGAACCACTGTGTTAGATTATGACTGTGAAATCCCATTGTAGTGTAGTACACGATAACTAACGGAGGCCATAGAATCAGCACAAATTTGTTGAGTCAGCTCCTCCATACATTCCATTGATTCAACAGGTCTACTCTAGTTGTGACTTACTACGATAAACAACCAGTTTTCAGTAGTGATTTGTGTTTTTGTCTTTGTCTTCTAAAGTTGCTTCATTCTAGCTTTATATTTCAGCACATTTTATGGTTAAAAAATGGAGCTTTGGCTGCTCTTTGGCTTTTGGCCATTGTTTCATGCTATGTGCATGAAATTCAGAAGACTCACATTAATGCACATTTTGTGGTTGTTATATCAAGAGGTCCCAATTCTCATTATTTCTTATGTCTTATTCAAACACAAGCCTTTGCTTTCGATATCTTGAACACATCATTCTTGCACCTATTATCCCAAGACTAAAAAGGACTGATTCTGCTTGTAATTTTTTTTAATGGAGCAAATATAGAATCCTTTGTGCTTTCTCTTCTGCATTTTTAGATTCTATTTTTAAATTATTAACCAAATTTATTTATTTGCTTGCTAGCTACTTTTCTCCAAGATGTAGAAACCAAGGTGGTTTACAACACAGTTAAAAACAACAGAAAATTAAAATACATTAAATTACAGTTAGAATTAAGAGCCAGCATCAGACTAGGACTATGGAGAGCTGGATTCAAATCTCACTTCGGCAGAGAAACTCACCAGGTTGCAGTGATAATAGTAAAACCAACCTTCAATATCTTACATACATTGGAGATCCTGCTAGGGTTGCCATAAATCAGAATCAACTTGGTGACACTTAGCACAAAAATACCAATTTATTATGCTATTAAAATAGAATTAAAACTGAAGACTGCTTAAAACACAAATATTAATCAAATCTCAGTTGAAATATGCCTTTAAAAAGAGAAAAACAGCACACTGGCAAACATTTCAAACTCTTGTTTCTCAAAAGGCAGTCTAAATAAAAAGGCAATTTCCTGCCAGTGGAAGGACAACAGGAAGTGGCCAAGCTAGTCTCCCTTCTCAGGGACTTCCACAGAGAAGACTTTTTCTGAAGTCTCCATGAATATGGGTCCTTGAAAGTCGTGTGACCAGGGGCAGAGTCACAGCAGCAGAAATCAAGGTGTGATCAGACTGATGTGAGAGATTAATGCCTTTGAGATAGCTTGGATTTGCATTGCATAGGGCTTCCATAATAGCCAGCAGTTTGAATTGTGCCCATAAATAGATGAGTACCTATTGAAGGTATTGTAAAGAAGGAGGTTCTTTTCTTATGAGCATCTGATGTAAGTTAGATAAACATAAGGTAAAAATGTCCACAACTGTCTCAGCAACCAAAAATAGAAAAAAATGTATTTGGAGAAGGCATGTAAAGGTGCAATGCTTAGTTGCATGCCCCTCATCACGCTACACTTCAAGCTCCGAGTGTGTTCAGGCAAAATGTGTCAACAGGGCTAAAGGGAGAACATTATGATACCTGAACTGCTGATACATCATGTAGAAGCTAGGAAAGAATCAGTTTCGGGACTGAGTCTTTCCTACCTTATTGGACAGAAAGGTTGTATTTGTTATTTGATGAAGTTTTCTTAAATCTATTTTTAGCAGGACAGGGGATGTTCCCCCCATTCCAGTCCTCTTGCACAGAGGCCAATCAGCTAATCATCAGAGATCATTCATTCTTGATGCCCTTCTTTACACCAAATAGGTCAAGATGTCAAAACTCTATTGCCTTAGGATTTCACGGTTTTTTTTTCTGAATAATCTTTATCTGTTTATCCATCCATTTTATTTCAGCTCACATACGGATCATTTTTGCTAGAACAAGCTGCCAAAATCCTAACCCCATTTCTGTATCAGATGGTCCCCAGTGAAGGATATCAGTATATGGGGGTTATCCGTTTACTTCAGCATTTTGGATGGACATGGGTTAATCTCCTGGCTGTAGATGATCAAAAAGGAGACCAGTTTTTGCAGACATTGCTTCCCCTTTTTTCTAAGAATGGAATCTGTGAAGCTTTCATATTCAGAACACCAAATATGGTTTATTTCGATGAACTAATTGAATTCCTTTGGCAGAAGCTGGAAAGCTTTGCAATGATCCATGACAGAAAATCAAACGTCTATTTTGTATATGGAGAATTTCCATCCTTTCTGATTTTGAGAACATTGCTTTTTCTAGCACCCTTCCTGGGATTTACACCACTGGGTAAAATGTGGATTGCTACATCCCAATGGGATTTTGCATCACTGACTTATCAAAAGACTTGGGATATTGAAATCTTCCATGGTTCTATAACCTTGACTGTTCACTCAAACCAGCCTTTTGGATTTGAAGAGTTCATTCATACAGTAAGACCTTCTTGGGCCAAAGGAGATGGTTTTATTCATGACTTCTGGGAACAGGCCTTCAATTGCTCACTGAAAACACCTATTGAGCATGGAGAAAGCAAGAACTCCTGCACTGAGAAGAAGCTAGGGACACTTCATGGGACATTGTTTGAAATGAACATGTTCGGCCACAGCTACAGTGTCTACAATGCTGTCCATGCTGTGGCACACTGCTCACTGAAAACACCTATTGAGCAGGGAGAAAGCAAGAACTCCTGCACTGAGAAGAAGCTAGGGACACTTCATGGGACATTGTTTGAAATGAACATGTTCGGCCACAGCTACAGTGTCTACAATGCTGTCCATGCTGTGGCACATGCTTTGCATGCCATGCACCAATCAGTCTTGAAACTGAGCAGATGGAAGGAAGGAAGGAAAGAAACAGTTGAAAATGTACAACCATGGCAGGTGAACAGTATGAAAACCTGCATTAGTCTATCAACAAAGTCCTATATTATCATTCTTCTGAGGTTCTCTAGATCTTTAAAGTGAAGATGGGAAGAGTATGCAAACACATTAGCTTCAAAAACAGTTGAAAATGTGCAACCATGGCAGGTGAACAGTATGAAAACTTGCATTAGTCTATCAACGAAGTCCTATATTATTCTTCTGAGGTTTTCTAGATCTTTAAAGTGAAGATGGGAAGAGTATGCAAACACATTAGCTTCACCCCTAAATGACTCTCTACCCCAGATCTGGGCAAAATGTGACCCTCCAGATGTTGCTGAACTGCAACTCCCAGCAATCCTAGCCCACACAGCCAATAGTGAGGAGTGTTGGGATTTGCATTTCAGCAACATCTGGAGGGCTGCACTTTGGCCAGGTCTGCTCTGACACCATCAGAGACCTTTACGAATTGAAAATAGTTTGGCCAGGTCTGCTCTACTCTGATACCATCAGAGACCTTTACGAATTGAAAATAAAACTGCAGAAGACTGTGCAACTGCATTTGATTGCAAAGAGTAATAGAGCTCCTATGATCAGAAATCTGATCAGGACTGTGAGAAGCCCATAACATCATTCAGTGTGAAACACACTGTACAGAGTCTTATGCACACCTCTGTGTGCAAAAATCACTGGTGTGGGATGGGGTGCCATTTAGGGCAGAAGTTACATTTCTGTGCAAGTATTGCGCCTAATTTCAGTCCTGTTACAGGTTCAGGAGAATGTCTGAACAGGGCACTAGAGAAAAATTTAGGAATAATTCTAACAAAGCAATACGAAGTTGCTTCTTCATGCATGGGAATTTGGAATAGTTGCACCAACTGAATTAAGTAGGATCTAGAACTAGCCATATCTGGAGGAGGTTCTTTTTAAAAAATTTTATTAACTAAATCATAAACATAAACATAAAATACACAAATCAAAATACAATATAACTGTGTTCCCCACCACCGTAGACGGAACCTCTTGCAATAATCTTCTTCCTCCATCTATATTCTACCTCTTCTTTTATTGTTCTCTTCTCCAGAACTGCATTGATTCTTGATTTGGAGCTTTCCCCTTTCCTCTTATTAATGCATATTCCAAGAATCTGCCCCATATTTCATAAAAAGTATTCTTTTTCAACTCTCCTTTCTTAACCTTTAGATTATAAGTTAATTTATCATTTATAGCTATATTCCACATTTCATTATACCATTCATCCATTTGAAATTCAGATGTAGATTTCCATTGCCTAGCTATTATTAATCTCACTGCTGTTAATAAATTAGTTATCAATTCTTTAATCATCTTATCATATTCCACTTCTCAAATATTGATAAAAAGTGATCTCAGGATTCAGTTCTATGTCTTTTCCACATTTATAATTAAATTCTTTAAAAATTTGTTTCCAAAATCTTTGTACTTTTTCACATTCCCACCGCATATGAAAGTATGTACCAATTTCCTTCTCACATTTCCAACAGACATTCAGATAACTAGCATTAATTTCATTTAATATTGTTGGTGTTAAATACCATCTTAGACACAGTTTTAAAATTTTTTCCTTGTTCTCACTGTCATAAATCTTAAAACCCTCATATTCCACATCCTCCTCCATTCTTCCTCGTTTATCTTTTTTCCAAAGTCTTGTTCCCACACTAGCTTCACCCCGTCTTTATAGCTTTCTTCTTCTAAATTGAGCAGGAATCCGTAAATTTTACTCACTGTGACCTTTACAGAGGTTCTCTGTAATCAAGCAGGCAGTTGGTTTCAATGGATTTACTCTCATCATTAATAGGTCTGGATGCAATGCATCATAGATATTGGAAGTTCTTTTTGTTGTTAAAGTTGTTCATGCTCAATAATCCACATGTAGCCAAGAAGATAAAAGTGAGAACATATAAAATCACACCAAATGTCCTGCACATGAGCATGCTAGATATTGTATGACATTGAGCTTTGAGAAGTTCGTTCTAGTTCTTTCAAGATCCTCTTTTATTCATGTGTTCCCTGTGCAGTTGAATCCCTTTCTAAGGAGCATCTCATTCAATAACAGCGCAGGAGATGCTGTGCACTTTGATGAAAAGCAAGAAGTAATTGAAGGATTTGATGTTACAAACTGGATGATGTTTCCCAATGGCTCAATGAGGAGAGTAAAAGTGGGAAGAGTGGATCCCAAAGCTCCCCCAAGCCAAGAGTTAACCATTAATGATAATCAAATTGTGTGGCCTAAAGTCTTTCACCAGGTGAGCCATGGCTACATATGGACTATACCAAAGCAACAGGGTTGGTGATTGCATACGGTTTATGTAACTGGCTGCAACTAATTAAAGAGGTGCTGAAATACATCTCAGTCACAAGCCTAGTCACATGCCCAGTTGCAAAACGGAGATGTGCAACAGCCCCCTCATCAGCCAACTGGAACTAGTCACAATTAGCTGCAGTCTGTTACACAAAACATATACAAACATCAATCTGATTCTGATCATCCTTTTAAACTATTGAAGTTAATTGGGTAGGACTGTATTTTTATATTTAAACAAATCATAATTCATTGGGTTCTTAGTAAGGTCACAGTAGAAAGATATCTGAGGTCAAATTTTGTCTATTTTATTCATAGGTCCTGCTGTTCTGAAAGGTTTTGTGGTAGAACCATAGAGTCGGAAGGGGCTCCAAGGGTCATCAAGCCCAGCTCCCCACCAGTGTAGGAAACACACTGTGGAGGCACTAGGCAGGGCTCAGATGGGATCACCATGCTTTATATCTTCTCATGCAGCTGCTTCACCAAACCTTTCCTAGAGTTATAATGGAAACTGGAAGACTGATGTTACTGGTTAGGTAACACTGTGTTCAGGACCAGGTCCCCCCCTTTCTCCTCTTCCAAAGATTCATTTACTAGATTTCGGTGAAAACTTACTGCATGATTAGGATTGATTGACTGACTGATTGTAGAAGGATGGTTTTGGTATGGGGTTTAGACTGTTGATTTCTGCATGGGGTTAGACAGTAGTTCCCTGCTCGTCCCGCCATTCCAGCATGGGGGTGGGAGGTGGAGTCCAGCAGCGTCTGGGGGTGAGAGATAATTGGGGTGGCCACCTGTCTCGGGGGCTTAGTATTCATATATGAATATGAAGCCCCCGTCTGTAGTCATGCGCCTTTGAGTCCCCACATCCACATTATAGTTTCTTTGAAAGGAGATCCAGAAAGATTTACACAATTGTAGACTCTGTGTACTGTATAGTGAATTGGAATCTCTCCTAACAGGCGTGGGGTTAGTCTATCTTGATTTCTATGCCCAGGATATATTATCAAGATATTGACAGATTATATACCACACGAACACTAATAAACTTCGCAGACAGACCAAATGTTTTGATACTCCTTTCATTCTTTAAGACTGTCCTAACAAAGCACAGTTCATCTATGATCACAGTAAAGATAGGTTGGTTGATTACTGACAAAAGTGTACTGTTGGTAGACCAGACATGCTCACAACACGTTTGTTAATCATTCTCCATGATTCTGGACAGGTGCTTCCCGTTTCAGTGTGTAATGAACAATGCTATCCAGGTTCCAGGAAGAAAAATAAGGAAGGAGACAAATTTTGCTGCTATAATTGTGCTCCTTGTCCAGATGGGATGATCTCTGAACAGAAGGGTAGGAGGCATAATGTGTAGTTATAGCACAAAACTCCCATAGTTTAACATACATCTTGTGTGTTTTATTTTGACATTGTGTGCCATTGGAATGTTTTCAGGACACTTTTTAAATCCTTATTTGCAGACATGGATGCCTGCGTCCAGTGTCCAGAAGACCAGTACCCCAACAAGGAACAAACACAATGCATTCCCAAGATTATAAGCTACCTTTCTTACCAAGAACTTTTAGGAGCCATCTTATCCGTAGCAGCCATATTTTTCTGTTTGATCACAACTTTAGTGCTTGGAATACTTATAAAGCATAAAGACACTCCCATAGTCAAAGCCAACAACCGGAGCGTCACCTACATCCTCCTCATCTCACTTCTTCTCTGCTTCCTTTGCTCCTTGCTCTTCATTGGAAAGCCTGGAAAGCTGACTTGCCTTATCCGACAAATGTTTTTTGGCCTTGTCTTCTCTGTGGTTCTTTCCAGCATTTTGGCAAAAACCATAATGGTGGTTCTGGCATTCATGGCTACCGAGCCAGGATCAGGCCTGAGAAAATGGGTAGGTAAAGGACTGGCGAATGCTATTCTGCTTTCTGGCTCTTTGATTCAAGCCGGGATTTGTATCATTTGGCTAAGTACTTTTCCTCCATTCCCAGACATGGATATGCATTCAATGTATGGGCAAATCATCCTAGAATGTAATGAGGGTTCCCCTTTTATGTTTCATTGTGTCTTGGGATATTTGGGCTTCTTGGCTATTGTCAGCTTTCTTGTGGCTTTCTTAGCTAGAAAGCTGCCAGACAGTTTCAATGAAGCCAAATTCATCACTTTCAGCTTGGTAGCATTTTGCAGTGTTTGGGTGTCCTTTGTTCCAACCTACCTGAGCACCAAAGGCAAATATATGGTGGCTGTGGAGATCTTCTCCATCTTGTCCTCCAGTGTAGGTTTACTGGTTTGCATTTTTTCTCCTAAATGTTACATTATTGTATTAAGACCTGAGCTTAACAGCAAGGAGCAGCTCATGGGAAGGAAATCATGAGAGAAAAGAATTTGTGTCTTTACTCTTGATTTTGAAGCCACTAACACACACTTGCACTACAGCACTCCTGCATATGGGAAACTGTTGTGTCTTTCTACAGTAATTCAAAACTCTTTGACCACAATTCTATTGGTCTTTATTTATGGTTTGCATAATTTGCTGTGGCTAATTGATGAGGTACTTGGGTGTATCTCATTCACATACCTGGTCATATGCTTGATTGCACCATAGAAATGGACCTTGGCACCATATCATGTAGTTGTGGTTAAATACTGAATGTTCTGGATACCTTATGTATACTGGTTTTTAGTTCAACATTTAAACCTTTAGTTTTATAATTTAAAATTATTTTATAATCCAGCAACAACGATTGTATTGGTGTATATTATGGAAGATTGGCATACAACACTATGGTTTTATGATATAACATTCTTTTGCAATCCATCTGTATAATGTGTTCAAGATTGGATCCCACTGTACAGTATTGTTAATGAAATGGCTTGCTTTTGGTGAGAACAGTTGAATCTAGTTCACTTCATTGGGTTTCGGCTTATCCTTCACTGACAGAGGAAATGTAAAAAGACATTTTTTTAGGATTAATTAATCACTTCAGAGAAGACAGTGCATGCCAAATTGTTGGGAAATAGATACTTTGGTTTTGAGTTACCTATCTTTGAATTTGGCACTTTCCCCACCTCCCCCTTCTGGTCCGTAGGTTGATTCTCCAGCCGCAAGTCAATTGGAAATCTTGCGGCTGGAGAAGTCCATACCTCGAAAAGTACGCACATCGAGCTGTGTGTACGTCGAGGGTCCACTGTATCTGCCAGATGGTTGTCTAAATTTTTCTTTAACAGCTCCAGTGTTGGAGCACTCACCACCTCTCAAGGTAATTGGTTCCATTGCCATACTGTACTAAAGATTAGGAAGGTTTTCCTGATACTCAACCAAAATCTGGTTTCCTGTAAGTTGATCCCTTTGCCATGTGTCCTGCACTCAGGGATGATTGAGAACAGATTCTGCCCCCTCCTCTAAATGACAGCTTTCCAAGTATTTGAAAAGTGCTATCATATCTCCCCTCAGTCTTTTTTTCTCAAGGCTAAACATGCCCAATTCTTTCAGTCTTTCCTCAAAAGGCTTGATTTCCAGCCCCCAGATAATCCTTGTTACCTTCTTCAGAACTTGTTCGTAGTTGTTGGTATCCTTCTTGAGGTGCAGTGTCCAGAACTGGACACAGTACTCAAGATGAGACCTAACCAGTGCTGAATAGAGGGGAACTAGTACCTCATGGGATTTGGAGACTATACTTTTCTCAATGCAGACTAAAATACCATTATTTATTTATTTATTTATTTATTTATTTAACTTATATGCCACCCACACTACCCAAAGGTCTCTAGGCAGCTTACAACAATTTAAATCCAATAAAATATATAAAGATAAAACAATTAAAATACAATTAAAAATACAGTACTCTAAAACTTGCCACAGTTGATATTATTTCAATTAAAAATTTTCTGGAACAGAACGGTTTTGACCTGGTGCTGAAACATCATAAACTTTGGTGCCAGATGACTCGCACTTGGGATGGCAGCTTCCAAAAAGGCACTTTGTCTACAAGCCATCCCTCTTACCTCCTTGAGGGATGTCTCTTTCAGGAGGCCCCCCTGGCTAGATCTTAATTGCCAGGTACAGTGGTGCCCCGCATAGCGACGATAATCCGTTCCGGATAAATCGTTGCTATCTGGAAACGTCGATATACGGGGCAAAAAACCTCATAGGAATGCATTGAAACCCTTCAATGCTTTTCTATGGGGGATAAACTCACCACTAAGTGGAAATCCTCCATATGGCCACCATTTTCGCCATCTCGGTAAGCAAGGAAACTGTGCGAAAATGCTGCGGGCAGCCATTTTTCTTCCGGCAGCCATTTTGGAACTGCCGATCAGCTGTTTTAAAACATCACAATGTGAAGATCGGTAAGCGAAATGCTTACCGATCATCGCAATGCGATGTTTTCCCTATTTAAAACATCGCAATGCAATCACTTTTGCGATTGCAAAATCCGCATCACTATGCGGATTCGTCGTTAAACGGGGCACTTGTTATGTGAGGTACTACTGTAGGTTCATATGGAAGGAGGCAGGCCTTCAGGTATCAATTTGCAATTTTTGTAGCCACATCACACTGTTGGCTCACATTGAGCTTGTGATCTACAGCACTGGTTCTTAACCTTGGGTTACTCAGGAGTTTTGGACTGCATCTCCCAGAAGCCTTCACCACCAACTGTGCTGGCTGGGGTTTCTGGGAGTTGCAGTTCAAAAACATCCGAGTAACAAAGGTTAAGAACCACTGATCTACAGTGATTCCAAGATCCTTCTCACCTGTAGTATTACTGAGCCAGGTATCCCCATCTTGTAATTGTGTGTTTGGTTTCTTTTTTCAAGGTGCTGTACTTTGTACTTATCCCTGTTGAGGTTCATTCTGTTGTTTTCAACCCAGTGCTCAAGACTATCTAGATCATTTTGAATTTTGTTTCTGTCTTCCAGGGTGTTAGCTATTCCACCCAATTTTGTGTCATTTGCAAATCTGATTGGCATTCTCTGTATCCTCTGATTCAAGTCATTAATAAAAATATTGAATAGCACTGGACCTAGGACTGAACCCTGGGCTACCCCACTTGTTACCTCCTCCCAGTCTGAGAAAGAACCATTATTCATCACCCTCTGAATACAATTCTGTAGCCTACTGTGTATCCACTTGACTGTTGTTTTATCCAGCCCACACCAAGTTAACTTGCTAATAGAGAATGCTGGGGCATATATCAAATGCTTTGCTGAAGTCAAGATATATGATGTCTACACTATTCCTTCTGTCTATCAGAGAGGTTACCTAATCAAAAACTGATTTCAGATTAGTCTGGCAGGATTAATTATTGACAAATCCTTCTTGATATCTAATTATTACTGCATTGTTTTCTAGGTGTTTGCATAGTGACTGTTTTATAATCTGATCCAGAATTTTCTCTGGGATTAATGTCAGGCTGATTGGTCTGTAGTTCCCAGATTATTACTAAATATTAATTGTTATAAATTTTTCTTGAACTTGTTATCCTTTATGTTGTAAGCCACCTAGACTGGTCGAAATGACTAGATAGGCAGGGAATAAATACAATAAATAAATAAATAAAATAAAAATTATGCAATTTAGTAAGGAGATAACAACAAGTGTTGGCATGCTACACCCTAGGCACAGAGATCATGTTATAGGATATAATTATATCTAAGTCAATTCATTTATATGTGACTGTATGAATAGATTTGCTAGAGCTTCTCATTAACTCTGGGTGATCTTGTTTCTACACTAACTTATTAACTGAAGTGTGTAGTAGGCATCCTTCAGTCTCGAGAGACTATGGTAATATGCTCTGTATGGAGGTCTTGGAACGGTGGCTAGTGTGGCTGAGGAGGCCAATTCGAGAGTGACAATCCCTTCCACACTGAAGACAAATACAATCTGTTCCCTGTTCAACTCCCTAGTTTTGCTGGAACATAACTGAAGTATGTTCTTTATAATTAATATCTGTTCCTTGTTCATCAGTGTCTCCGAACATCACATGCTTTTAATATAATCACTGAGGCTGAATGAGAAGTATAAGTTTCTTGTTACTTCTTAAAAGTGTCATATGTACCTGTTTGGCTCCAGAGTATATTAATTGTGCATTAATGAGCAAAGAAAAACAAGTAAATTGAAAATTCTGAACTAACTTTTTTTCATTCATCTAATGTAGAAGTACTGTATAACAAAGCAGAGATAACAGGAGAGTCAAGATAATGAAGGGTAGTATGAAAACATTGTTGAAAATTTTATGCAGCTCCAGTCTCTGTCTGCAAAAAGACCCATAGCCTAGGAACAGCCACAGAGAAGGCCCTCTCTTGAGTCCTTTCCTCTATTGGTTAGGGAGCTCAAAAGTTAGGGACACACACATCACTCTCTCTAGGACTCATCTGTCCATTTCCTCTTCAAACTGTTCTGTTCAGGTGCATTATTGTTGTTTGTTATCGAGTTGCCTCTGACTCATGGTGACGCCATGAATAAGTGCTCTCCAAAATGTCCTGTCCTCAGCCACCTGCCCTGCTCTTGCTCATCTCATATTTGGTATTCCTCTTTTCCTGCTGCCTTCTACATGCCACAGTACTATAGTCTTTTCCGGGGAATCCTGTCATCATGGCATACCCTAGCCTTAGGTTTTTTTTGCCTCCAGAGATAGTTCAGGTGCATAGGGAAGACTTGTTCTGTATGTCACATCCTGCACGATCATGAATTTCTCACATGGTATCTGCAGCCTTGGTTAAATCAATGGGGTAAAAAAAAAGGGAAGCAAACTGAAAATATATACATCAATACAGAATAGCATAAAAAGCAAAGCCTACAGTATGAAAAAGAATATGGCATGATAATATGTTCAGGTGGACCTTCCTCTCTTAAGCAACATTTCCAGAAAAGTGTTCAACTTATAATGAAGAATGACAAGCTGTTTCAAAAGAACATATAATGGAGATATTCTTTACATACAAGAAGGCTTTATGTATTTTGTACCCTGTTCAAAACAAGTCTGCAGGCTCTAGAATACACACACACACACACACACACACACACACACACACACACACACACACACACACACACACACACATACATACATATGTGCATACATACATACAGTGGTGCCCCGCATGACGATGATAATCCGTCCCATAGAAATCACTGTTTAGCGAAATCATCGTCATGCGAAAACTATTTCCCTATTGGAATGCATTGAAACCCGTTTAAAGCGTTCCGATGGGGAAAATACCTCATCGTTTTGCGAAAATCACCCATGGCAGCCATTTTGCAAAGCACTGGTCAGCTGTTAAAATGGCTGCCCTACAAAGGTAGGTCCCGAAAACATGGGGCAGCCATTTTGCAAAGCCGCCGAGCAGCTGTAGAAATTGTCGTCTTGC